TGTAAAATGAGAATAATAATAGTATCTGTGTATCAGGATCCCAAAAGGAAATAGGTACTGTACTCAGATAAGGATCATTCAAACAGGACTTGTTCACAAAAGGAGAAATCATAGATGTGTGAAAGGTTTAGGGAACCACCCTAGATAATGAGGGAACCCAGGTTAACAGCACAGAGCTAAGCCACTCCTAAGCCACTAGGAAAGAGGGGAGAAAGAAGGAACAGGAACCAAAATGGGGCAGTGGTTCTTAATAAAGGTCTCTGAGGGCTCCCCCAGTGGCGCAGTGGTTGAGAGTCTGCCTGCCGATGCAAGGGACATGGGTTCGATCCCCAGTCCGGGAGGATCTCACGTGCTGCGGAGTGGCTAGGCCCGTGAGCCATGGCCGCTGAGCCTGCGCGTCCGGAGCCTGTGCTCAGCAACAGGAGAGGCCACAACAATGAGAGGCCCACGTACCACAAAAAAAAAAAAAAAGGTCTCTGAGAAAAGTTATGACCTTAGTCCACCGGAAATGACTTTACGGGAGGCAGCGGGCAATCTGACTTGACTTTCCTTCCTTTCTCCAAAATTCTGCTCTCCTAAGGCTCCCTGCTGGCCAAACCCAGCTAGAAGCTGGAGGACATGAGAGGAGGCAATATAATCTGTACAGACCAGCCTGCCAGGGCAGAGAGCAAAACGGAGGAGAGTGGGGATGGCTGTGTAGGTCAAACATCCTGCACAAACTCGTTCACGGCGTGGCTCAGCTGATTAAACAATGAAATGGCATTAAGGGCTATCACAGTTCTGGGCATCAAGTGTTTAATGAAAGTTAGCTAAGATTATTAGTATTTCTCTTTTCTAGGTCAAAAGTGAAATAGTTGTCAATGATTGAGGGCTGAGCACACGAAGTAGGACCTGTCTGGAGTAATAGAGGGTTATACACATGGTCCCCACCCAAGCCCACGTAATAAGTCTGTGCTTCCTTTGGTATAAAAGGAAAGTTAAGTTTTTTGTTTGTTTGTTTGTTTGTTTGTTTTGCGGTACGAGGGCCTCTCACTGTTGTGGCCTCTCCCGTCACGGAGCACAGGCTCCGTGTGCTATATGGCCATGCTATTATGCTATTATGAAGAAAATGTGATTTAAGCTACTAGTCACTAAAGTAGTGGTTCTTGAAAGAGTAAGCGTTCTTTGGGTTATTGGAGGGGTGGGAAATGGGGCCTTGACTTGCCAAGATGCTCCCTGTCAGGGGGTGCCCTCTCTGCAGGTAGCATCTGAGATTTAATACCAGCAAACACTTGCGAAGAATTTTGGATTCCAGACACTGTTTTACTACGCGTCCTACATGCATCTTCATGAACCCTCACAGTCGCCCTTTGAGGCATTGTTACCCTCACTTTACAGATGAAGAAACTGAGGCACCAAAAGTTTCAACTTTTTAACCTAAGTTCTCAAAGGTCCAAGTAGCAGAGCCAGAAATTGAATCCAGTCTGACTGCAGAGTCTCTGTTTTTCTCTACACTGGCTGTGTTGGCATTCCTGCCTCATAGTACGTGTTCAGGAAGTACTTATTGAATTAACTGGAGTAAATGCACAGAGCTATAGAAAGTTTAGAATGTTTTAACTCCATGGACTATACACCCTTGTTTGAAGGAAAGGCTGATGTAATGAATTTATGTCCATGAGGCACAGGAAGAAGCCAGATTTAGCACTTTAAAGTCATTCTGTTCTTATATATAAAATTATTTATGTAGGATCCATTTTGGCATGCAGATCATTACCTAACATGGTATAAATACACACACTCACACACAAACTACACACACCATGTCTTTCCCAGGTGGGGACAAGCTGGGGTAACTTAGAGAGCAAGATTCCGACTCATCGACTCATAGCTCTGGAAATTCCAAGAGCTCACATTTAGAATGTTGCCTTTGGTGGGAAGCAGCTCATAGCCGCATAGAGGAGTGAGATACATGTTATCATGGCCGTTGGGCTTGACTGTAGTTTAACCTCAAGGTCACTGGGAGGCCAGAGCGGAACAAAGGAAAGAATGTTGGCCCCTGAGTCAGCTGAGCCTCCAGGCACACTGGCCTCCCTCTGCTGGCCTGCCCATCGGCGCCGTGGCAGTCTGTACCAGCCTTTAGCAACGCAGCCACGTTCTTCCCACAGGAAGAGAACCCACCCCCTCCTGGGCAGGAAAGCAGGGCCCCTCCCTGCCTGGCCCTCGTTCCTTCTTGCCCTCACAGCCCATCTCCCCACTCATACAAAAGACTTTTTCAGAAACTGGTTACCTAGACTTGAACTTTTCAACAAGCCTTTTTGTTTTGTTTTGTTTTTTCTTTAAGCTCCACAGCTAAAATACCAGATCCTGCTGTTGCTAAGATTAAGGATTTTCTTCCCGTTTTCTCCCTCAGCTCAGTTTCCGTTGACTGGGAAGGACCAAGAGATGGATTACTGTTCCCTTGCCCAAGGCAGAGAGGGTGCTTGAGCTCCTGGGGCTTACACAGGGATTTGACGTTACTCGGACTTGTGCTAATCATTCTTAGTTATTCCTCACGCTCTCCTAAAAGTGACACGCAATTGTGTCAGTAACTAAGCCCTCCCGAACAAAACCACTCAGCCCTAAGTGTACACAGGAGAACCAGGAATTGGAGTAAAAGGTCATTTAACATGAATATATTTATATATTGTACATAGTGTGTTCCATGATTCATTCAGCTTATTTTCATTTTATGCATTTTCTTCCCACTTGCAGTCTTTATTTATTACAAAGTTGAGGCTGTTAGCAAAATAACACTTAGGGGTGGGTTTTCTTTTTCCCTTAAAAATTTTTTTTTTCCTGCTTTCTACTTTATCTCTGGGAAGGTGTGCCAGTATAGCAACAAAACTGGTCACTGCTGCCAAACCCCAAGAGACTGATGGCATATTGTTCTGAGCTGAGCATCTTTGCCAGGCTTTTACCACTGAGGGCTGAGCACGGTGGCTGTGTGAGCCCTGTGGTTACTGAGCTGCAGCAGCTCACGTCAGTCACCATCTAGGGACAGGAATCACCCATTCCTCTGACTTTTGATGTGGAATTGCAGGTACCAAGATGGCTTGAGGGTTCACTGGGTGCCTGTAGTCTGGAGCTGGAAAGACTTGGGTTTATGGACCAGCACTGCCACTCACTTGCTCTGTGAAACTGGGCAAATCACTTTAACATTCTGAGCCTCCGTTTCCTCTTCTACAAAATGAGCATAATAACAGAACCTTCTTGGTAAAGGTAGGCACATGTTAAAATGTATAAAATGTGTGTACACACTGGGCTTGACATATGACAAGTTCCAAACAAATGTTAGCTCTAATTACACACACATGATCCTAACAGTAGCCCAGGAGGTGATGAGGAAATGCAAACCCTAGGGGATTAACTCCCTTTCCTAACACAGGCATCTAAAGCATTTTGTTATCCAGTCCATGTTTGTTTCCTTCCGAAGCTTGTGATCTATTCATGATGGAACACACCTCAACACCCCTTCCCTCTTTTTATCAGAGGTATTTGAAGTCTGGAAAATTTGGCCTTTTGGGGCCTTGACCTGGATACGAATGATAAGAACAAGTAAAAAACATTCAGGTTTTCCTCCTGCCAGTGCCTGTGTTGAGTTAGAAATGTCATCCTAATGTTTTGATTCAGGGCTGAGTTCCATCCTTGTGGGAGCTACAATTCCCAGCACTCCTAAACTTCGTGGCTGCCATCATGGTCTTGACAAATGGTTTACCAAGAGGTGCATCCCCCAGTTCCAGGGGAATATCCTGTCCAGTTCTGAATGTCATTTTCCAAGAAAAACAGACACACACTTGGGCATGCCAGGAGGAAGGCCACCAGGATGGTGAGGGTTGTGAGAATATACTAAGAGCAACAGTTGCTAGATCTCAGATGAAGAGGCCTGATGCATGGGAAACAGATTACCTTTACCTTTGAGGCTTCGGATGGAAGGTCTTGGGCAACAGGTAGGAGTTACTGGGAGATAGATTTGGGTTCAACTGGAGAGAAAAAGTTTCAAGCCTGAAAACAGTTCAGCAATAGAATTATCTGTGATGAAGAGCTGAGTTTCTCATCCCTTAGAAGGGATGTGCCCAGTGGACTTAGAAGCAATTTTTAACAATGTTATTCTAAGGATTTATGCATAGACAAGAAGATAGCTAAGGTCCCTTCCAGCCCAAAGATTCCATCATTGTGAAGTAACTGTCTGCAGATTTGCAAAAGGCTTTCCTACATCTATTTTCTTTCATTCATGTGCAGTTGATCAGTTGACCAACAAATAGCTTTGTGCTTCCTACTGTATGACACTAGGTACCAAGTATGCATCAGAAAACATCTTGCTCTCAAGTACCTTATAGTCTTGTGGGGTAAATGGACAAGAAAACAGACATTTGTAACAGAGTGTGGTAAGGGTTATAAGAGGAAGCACAGGGAGCTGGAGATGAGAGAAGGCTTCCTGTTGGAAAGGACCACCAGGATGGGACCTGCAGGAGCTGGCTAGGTGAGTAGTGGGAAGACAGAGCAGGAAAGGCATTAGCATGAGCAAAAGCCTAAAAAACAAGGCAGGGTGAGGGAGTTGTGAACAGTTCCGTTTGCCTGGAACAGAGTCCATAGAGATGAAAGTAGGGACAAAAAGAGATGAGACTCGAGAAAGAGGTGGTAGATGGTAAAAATGGCCACAGATTCTTTTCCTCCTATTAAAAGGGGAAGTCTATTTTCCCATCTCTGAGTTGACTGTGGGACTTGCTTTGGCCCATGAAAAATGAACAAATGTGACATAAGAAGAGGCTTGAAAAATGTTTGTACATGGAAGCTTTTTGCTACTCTTGGAAACTTACAATGACATTTTTTTTTTTTTTTTTTTTTTTTTTTGCGGTATGTGGGCCTCTCACTGTTGTGGCCTTTCCTATTGTGGAGCACAGGCTCCGGTCGCACAGGTTCAGTGGCCATGGCTCACAGACCCAGCCGCTCCGTGGCATGTGGGATCTTCCCGGACTGGGACACGAACCCGTGTCCCCTGCATTGGCAGGCAGACTCTCAACCACTGTGCCACCAGGGAAGCCCAACAATGACATTCTAATAAGTCCAGGGTATCCTCATGGATGATGAGAGATGCTTGCCACAGTTTCTTGGTCACCCCAGTCTACAGCCAGCTATCTTCAGAAACAGAGTCACACAGCTGACCTGCAGTTGCCCATGGATGGATAAGTGAGCCCTGCTGATACTGGCTCAAAGCACCACAGAATCACGAGCTAAATAAATGGCTTTTGTTTTCATCCATTAAGTTATTATTATTATTAGGTAAAAGCTAATTGATGTGTCAGTCAGAGAGATTTATAAATCATGTTAAGGAATTTAGATATGAATCAGAGAATGCCAAGGGTTCTTCAAAGAGTTTAAGCCATGAAAGTGGTCGTATCAGATTTGTGTTTCAGAAAAATCACTGTTGGACCCAGCCAATGAGATCATGTGTAGTTAAGCATCTTGCAAAATGTGAAGCAGGGTGCAAATACAGTTGATGAGTAAAAATAGTAAGGATGCACAAGACACAATTTCAAGGCAAACCCTTCAAATCAAACCCTCTGAAAACATCTAGCAATGGCGCATCTGGCTACAAATTATCTCCCAAGCAAGTAGCTTGCTGCTGGTAGCCAGCCCTGGGCCTAGAAGAAGAGCTGGACAAAGCAAGGTGGCACGGGGGAAGGGCAGAATGTGCTAAGACCATAGGAAACTCACTTTTCTCAAAGATGACCTGGATCAGCAGTTCTTCAGGCTAATTTGGTCCCTGGATCAAAGACCTGGGTCAAGGGGCCTCAGGAAAACCTTTCAGGAGATTATCATAAGGAGATAATCAGAGAATCGCACAAAGATTGGTGAGTTTTCTTTGTAGCATTACTTCTAATGTCAAAAGTTTAACACTATAAATGTCTAACAAGAGGAAAATAATGATGTTATTATAAAACTATGTGGTTGAAAACTATGCAAATGTTAAAATAAAATTTTCAAAAATTATGGCACAGAAGTTCACAATATAAAAAAACATGTATAAAGAATGCAACAGACAGTTTTTCACTAATATTCATTCTAGCCTTTTACCTTAATAATAGAACTCCTGATTTTTAACCGGACACATGGCCACCCAGCTAGAAACCGTTTCTCAGCATCCCTGGATTCTGAGTGTGACCATGTAGCTGATTCTGGACGATGGAATGTGACCAGGAGTGATGCATGCCATTTCCATATTGTCCCCTAAGTATTTTTGGACTAGAGTTCCTTTTGCCTATTCCCTTTCCTAAAGGATCAGTTGCAGATGTGACGATGGGAGCTAGAAAATACACCTGAGACCCAGAGCCTGTCTAGGGAGTAACCTGTCTGCTGTGCTGATGAAACTCCTGCCCAGCGTGAATGCCTGACCAAAGCTCAAGTGACTCACGAGCTGCTGTATGTTTGAGGGACACTCATCTGAAGGTCACTGATCAGGTGCACAGGTGGGCAACTTGGAAAAGTCACACACTCAGCCAGAGGCAGAGTCCTGCCAAGCCAAATCTTCATCCTTGCAGCCTGGCACCTTATCTCTTAGATTAACTGTAGTGTTGTGAGGACTGCAAGGGACGTGAGGAGCTAAGGGAAGAAGGACTGTCACGGGGGTGCAGGTGGGTGTATATAAAGTGTGAATCACCTTGGGGTATTCATTTTGGGTCATTTCTCCATTGGCCTATTTCTCCTGACTGTGGGTCCTACTCCCTTTCCGCTATGGGTTGAACTGTGCCCCTACCCCACCACATTCTCCTGCAGAGATCCTAACCCCCAATACCTCAGGATGTGACCTTACATCTTTTTTTTTTTTTTTGCAGATGTAATCCAGATGTAATCCAGTTAAGATGAGGTCATTAGGGTGGGCTCCACTCCAATATGACCGGTGTCCTAATTAGAAGGCACATAGACACATACAGAGAAAATGGCCATGTGACAATGAAGGCAGGGGTTGAAGTGCTACAGCTGGCAGTCAGGAATCACTCAAGATTGCCAGAAAACCACCAGAAGCGAGCAAGAGTCAAGGAATGATCCCCCTACACAAGACTTCAGAGAGAGCACGGCTCTCCTGACATCCTGATTTCAGACTCTAGACTCCAGAACTATAAGATAATATATTTCTGTGGTTTTAAGTTACCCAGTTTACGGTATTTTGTCATGGCAGCTCTAGGGAGCAAATATACTCTTTTTGGCCAGCCCGACTCTCAGGAATGGTCAAAGCCGGCAGAGCTGTCCAAACAGCAGGGCACCTACAGGATTCTAATCCCTCACACAGAGTTCTGGGAGGGAGCAGCTGGGCAGGCTGGGGCCCTGATTTACAGGGTTTCCTTTAGATTAAAACCAGAATGCACCAGACATGAAAAGGTGCAAGCCTTATTACTTAACACTGACTCCTACCAGTGTTATGAGGGAAAGAAACAGATCAGGGGTATCTGGAAGATCTTCCTGGGAGGCTGAGCCCCAGACCATGAGTCATATTCTCCTAGTTTCCTTTTTTGGTATAATTCTTTTTCTGGGACAAAACTCTGCCCAAATTTTACTCAGACCTCCTAAGAAGGTGAAGGTAACTAGACACATGTGAGTATCATGCACTTTTCTCATTTAAATATCATTACAATAAGGTGGGGATCCTATTGCCAGGGCAACTAGTAACAGAAAATGAGCAGTGTAGTTTTGATAGAGACTCTTACTCCACTTGGACTGATTCCTACTGTGTCCCTGGCTACCCTCTCATTTGCTATTAAAAGGATATAACCGTTTTTGGGTATTTTTTTTTGAATTTTATTTATTTATATTATTTATCTCACCTTGTTTTGCTTTCCTCTTTGCCAAAGTTCTCATTCCTTACCCTCAAGTTCAAGCTGACCTGCAGACTTGCTACTGACATTGCTAATTTAGCTCCTTCCATTCTTCCCACAGAACTTGATGATGTTTCCCCTTCTCCTGTTCAGGAGCCTCTCCCTCTGATCAACACTTCACTCACCAGTTTCCATGACTGTGTCCCCAGGGCCTGACATGTAGTCATATGACCTACATAACCTATCCTGAGTATAAAGCCCAGCAGGGCTGTGGACCAGCTCCCATGACCATGTGATAAATTCTTCAATAATTCCAGGCAGCAGGTTCCTCATCTGTAAAATGAGATGTTCTACTTTATGAGAATTAAATAGGATAATGTATGTGAAGTCTGATGCCTATAGGCTTTGCATTAGTTATTTAATGCTGCGTAACTTAGTGGCTTAGAGCAGCAATAATTATGTACTAACCTTTACGGTTTCTGTGACTTCAGAATTCAGGAGCAGCTTGGCTGGGCTGTTCTGGCGTGGGGTTTCTCATGAGGCTGCAATAAGATGTTGGCTGGACCTCTGAAGGTTTGGCCGTGGCTGGAGAATTCACCTTGGAGGTGGCCATCACAGGGGTCTGCTTACCCAGCTGCTGGCTGTTGATGGGACGCCTCAGTCCCTCTCCAGGAGGGCCTCTGCTCAGGGCTGCTCGAAAAGCCTCATGGCATGTGGCTGTCTTCCCCTGGTTAGAACAGTAGGGGTGCAGACTGGGGGGAGGGCACAGGGTGTATATATATATATTTTTTTATTTTTTTGCGGTACGCGGGCCTCTCACTGTCGTGGCCTCTCCCGTTGCGGAGCACAGGCTCTGGACGCGCAGGCTCAGCGGCCATGGCTCATGGGCCCAGCCGCTCCACGGCATGTGGGATCTTCCCGGACCGGGGCACAAACCCGTGTCCCCTGCATCGGCAGGCGGACTCTCAACCACTGCGCCACCAGGAAAGCACGAATGTCAACTTTTATCGTAATTTTAATTACATATATATTTTTTTTAACTAAAAATATTTTTATTTATACAAACGATGATAACGTGCTACTTGCTCATCCTTGCAAGTAGATCTCCACCCCTGCTCGCCAGAATGTCAGGTTTATAGAAAGGCTTTAATGGGGTCCAGTCACCTACACCATCCAAAGGGTCTCAGTGGCACCCCACTCTCTCAAAGCTGCGTCCTTGAAAACGGCTCCCACTGTGGGAAGGAACTGTGGGCGGGCACTGCAAAGCCAGGGGAGGGCGAGGAGCCTCACTTCCTGGTCCACCTCCGGGTCAACCTGAGGTCATGACCTCTGGATGATCCCGCCTCAAGGTACCGCGAGAAGCTGACGGTCTGCGGGATCGACTCCATTTTCCCAGGGCTTTGCTCTGTCTTCCGGCCTCCGGCCGTTGGCCGTTCCCGCGGCGACGTCGACTTAGACAGCAACCCCTGTCTAAGTTGCACGTCTAAAATGCACGTTTCTGTCAGATTCTCCGCTCGAGCCCTCAAGGACCTGCCAGACTGTGGGCTGGACCACGACCCCCAGACCGCGTCCTAAGAACTTTCTCGCCCGAATGATTAGCTGCTTCTTCCCAAGCGTCTGCTCACACCTTGAAACAGCCGCTGCGGAAGGCGCCTCCCCTAAGATCCCCGGGACAGGTAGGCCCTCCGTGTGCTTCCCGCGCTTCTGCTCGTGGCCAGGCCCTGTCGTCCTCACCCACGTGGCACATAAGATGTATATTATGTACAGTGTGTGTGCATATATATGTGTGTGTATATGTATATATGCATATATATGTTTACATAGATGTGGAAAACAGTATTATTTCTAGGATTTACCATAACTCCTCACGTTTGTGTTCTCCCAAAATACATATGTTGAGGTCCTAACTACACCTAATATATATACATATTACGCATGTATATGTGTATATGTATATATATATTTATGTATCTGAGGTTAAAAAAAGGGTTATTTCTAGAATTTACCATAACTACTGTTGCTGGTGGCCCCCCCAAATTCATATGTTGAACTCCTAACTGCACATAATATATGTATTATGTGTCTATGTGTATATATATGTTTATATATCTGAGATAAAAAACATTATCTCTAGAATTTACCATAACTGCTGAAGTTTATGTTTCCCCCAAATTCATGTTGAAATCCTACCCGTGGAGATGATGGTATTAGGAGCTGGGCCTTTGGGAAGTGATTAGGTCACGATGGCAGGGCCTTCACGAATGGATTAGTGGCCTTAGAAGGAGACTCCAGAGAGCTCCCTCACCCCTTCCGCCAGGTGAAAACACGGTGAGGTGTCCTGCATGCACCAGGAAGCAGGCTCTCAGCAGACACTGAATCTACTGGAGCCTTGATCTCGGACTTCCCAGCCTCTAGAGCTGTGAGAAATACATTTCTGTTGTTTAGAAGCCACCCAGTCTGTGGTGTTCTGTGATAGCAGCCTGAACTGGCTAAAACAGGTGGGGGAGAGTAGTCAAGCTATCATAAAATGTGGTGACTGAAAAGATCAGTCTCTTTCTTTCTGCAACATTCTCCTCAGGCGCTTTCAGGTAAATGAGCCACTAATTGAAAGCTCAAACTCCCTTCAGGTCTGATGTATTCCCTCTGAGGAAGTCTCTCCTTTCTTCCTGGAGGACCCACACCCGCTCACTTTGTTTGGTTAGCTCTTCTGGCACCACTCTCTCTGCGTACCTTCATCTTAGTCTTCACTTGGCCCTCATCTTGCTTCTCTGCCTTCTGAATTGAAGGTATCCTTCATTGTCAAGGAATGATGGAAACTCGAAATATGTTTTTCCCTAAAACTAGTGTGATAAGTTGTGTTTAGATTTTCTAGGCTAGTTGACAAAGGCTCATTTTTCCAACAATGTAACTGATAACTGGCAATACAAATTTTGGAAAAGTAATAATGTTACCAAATGAATAGCTAAATAAAACAGAAGAGTCTACTTTTCATTGATTGATTTCACTTCTTAAATTACCGTAGAGGAAAATTGACTGTCAGGTATATAGTTCTTTGAATTTTAACATGTATGATTTATGTAACCCCCTCTATAATCAGGATACAGGACAGTTGCAGTGCTCCCCCAAACTACCTTGTGATATTCCTTTAAAATAACAGCCCTGTCCCTAACCCTGACAACCACTGATCTGTTTTATTCTTTATCACTGTAATTCCGTCACTTCAAGATGGTTACATAAATGGAATCTTTGGGGACTGGTTTTTTCCACCCAGCATAATTCTGTTGAGATCTATCCATATTGTTGCCTGTATCAATAGTTTGTTTCTTTTTAATGTTATGTAGTATTTCATCGTGTGAATATACTAAAGTTTGTTTATCCAGTTTACGGTTGAAGAACATTTGGGTTTCCAGTTTTTGGTAATTGAGAATAAACATTCATATACAGATTTTTCTGTGAATACAAGATTTTATTTCTCAAGGGGAAATGTCCAGGAGTAGAACTACTGAGTCATACAATATATATATGCTTAATTTTATAAGAAACTGCCAAACTGTCTTCCGGTGTGGCTGTGCCATTTTCCATTCCTACCAGCAATGTTCAAGAGTTTCAGTTGCTCCACATACTCACAAGTGCTTATTATTAATTAAAATTAAAAAAAATTATTTTAGCCATTCTAATAGGTATGTAGTGTGGCATCTTATACTTTAAATTTGCATTTCTCTACTGCCTCATTATGTTGAACATCTTCTCATATGCATATTTGCCACAACTGTATCTTCTTTAAGGAAGTATCTGTTCTTTTGTCTATTTTTTTAAAAAATGGGGTTTTTAAAATTAACATTGAGTTTAGAGAGTTCTTTATATCTATATCTACATAGCTCTTGTCAGATATCTAATTTGAAAATACTTTTTTCTAGTTTGTAACTTGTTTCTTCAATCATTTAATAATGTCTTTTGCAGAGCAAAGTTTTTAATTTTAATGAAGTTCACCTTATAATTTTTTTATGAGTCATGCTTTTGGTATCATTTCCAAGAACTCCAGTTCTTCTATCTTCTGTGGTTTCTGTTAAGAAATCTGTCATTTGAATTTCTCCTATAGGTAAGGCATCATTTCTCTGTGGCTGCATTAAAGATATTTTTCTTTCTTAGTTTGCAAAAGTTTAATTATGATGTGCCTGTGTATGGATTTCTTTGAGTTTCTCCTATAAGAGTTTTGCTTAGCTTATTGAATCTGTAGGTTTAAGTCGTTATTATTAAGTCTTTAGCCATTATTTCCTCAATTTTTTTTTTTTTTTTTTAAGCACCATCTTGCTTCTCTTCTTTTTTGGGACTCAAGTGACCTTAATTTTAGGACTTTTTTTTTTTTTTTCTCATAGGTCCCTGTGACTGTTAATTTTTGTTCAGTCTCTTTTCCTTTTGTTGTTTAGATTGGATGAGTTTTATTGATCTATTTTTAGATTCACTGTTTTCCCTGTCATCTCAGAGTCCATTTAGTGAGTTTATTTATATATATATATTGTTTTGGTTATTGTACTTTATATTTCTAAAATTTCCACTCAATTTTTTTATTTCTTTGCTGAGATTTTCTACTTTTCCAGTTGTTTCAAGAATACTTGCTATTGCTTATTGTGGCATTTTAAAAACAGCTGTTTTAAAGTCTTTGCCAGAAAATTATAATATCAGTGTGTATTACTTTGCTTAGTTTGCCCTAACAAAATACCGTAGACTGGGTGGTTTAAACAACAGAAATTTATTTTCTCACAGTTCTGGAGGCTGGAAGTCCAAGATTAAGGTGCTAGCAGGTTTGATGTCTCCCAAGGCCCCTCTCCTTGGCTTGCAGACAGACAGCTGTTTTCCTACTGTGTCTCATGTGGTCTTTCTCTGTACAGAGGCATCCATGGTGTCTCTCTGTATGTCTAAGTTTCCTCTTCTTATAAGGACAGTGATTAGATTGAACTAGAGCCAACCCTAATGGCCTTATTTTAACTTATTCTCCTTTTTAAAGGCTCTGTCTCCAAATATAGTCATATCCTGAGGTACTGGTGGTTAGGGCTTCAACTATGAATTTTGCGGGAACACAATTGAGATCATAACCCTGTGTCATCTTGAGGTTGCTGTCTGTTGATTGTCATTGAGGATTTCCTGGTTCTTCATATGCTGAGTAATCTTGAATTGTATCCTGCACATTTCATATGTTACATTGGGAGACCCTTGACCTCATTTAAATCCTATTTGAAAACATAGATATTCTTGTTTTACTAGGCAATTGACCTGGTTAGGTTCAGGCTCTAAGTTCCAATCTGCCTTCTGCGGGCTATAGTTCCAACGTCAGTTCAGATTTTAAAGACTTTGCAGTTCCAATTAGATCTGTCACATGTGTGCCACCCAGGGGTCAGCCTGTGATGTACGCAGTTGCCTTTCTGGATGTTTGGTTCTTAAATTCTTTGAAATGCTGATTAAGATCACATCCAGGCATGGACAGTTAGGGGTGACATCTAGGAGTTCATGAGTAACTTTATGGGGTCACTTTCTTGGTCTCCTTCCTTTGCAATCTACAGATACTTGTTCCCTGGGTGTCCCCCTTTTGCTTCGTTAGCTAGAAAGCTAAGGCTTTCATTAATCCTGCCCTGCTGCACATATTTGTGACTATGTACATACACATCCAGGGCCAACTGCTTGGAGGACAGAGAGAGAGTAAAAATCAAGCGGGAGTCACCCCACCTTCTTGGAATTACAGCTCCACTGATTAGAGGAGAAGGACCCCCAACACTCTACCCACTCAGTGGTCTCCCAAAGGTGCTGCTGCTACCACAACCATTGCATTGCTTGGGGTCTGAAGTGTGAGAAGACAGAAAAGAAAAAAAAAAGATGAGGAAAATTTACACACTCTCTTATTTCAGTGTTAGAGTTCTCTTTTCACTGCTTGAGGCAGATCTAAGGGCTTCTTCTGGAGCTCTCTGTTTGTGCTGATACTAATTTCTGGGTGTCAGGCTGCACTGTGCTCAGGCTGGGAGATACCAGAGGAAAAAAGAATGAAAAAATTGCCACTTGGTAATAATTTTTGGTTTGGTGGTACTTCAGATGGTGGTCTGCTTTTCCAATCTTCCCATTACTGTTTACATCTCAGGGTTCTCAAGTAGCTGTTTCACACATTTTGTCCAGGTTTTACAGCTGCATTTAGTGGGAGAGGCAGAGTGGATTGTGCTTACTCCATCTTACCAGGAACCGGAAACTCCTGAAACAGAATGATATCAAAATTGAATAGGAAAAAGATGGAAACATGTTTTTTGAATGCTAATGTTTAAGGCAAACATACAATTAGGAGAAGATGAAGATGTGGGTAGAAGTTTAAGTGAAAAATATTAATTCTGAAAGAGCCATCTAAGAATCTATAAAAGCTTTTGAAATTGAGAATACTGGTACTTGTTTAATTTTAGATGAAAATGGATAGTTTCTATCTCTGGCATATGACTAGTAACTATGTTTATGCTTATAAGGAATGATTAATGTTTCAATTCACAGAAAAAAAAGAAGAGTGGGGAAGAGGAACATTCATGGGGGAATATGTGAAACAAGAGAGAAATGGAGTTTAAAAGTGTGTGTATGTATTAATATGTTTGAGTTTGATAATAAGGATAGTGAAGGACAGAAAGAGGAAAGCTGTTAGTGCTTGCGTCTCCTTAATGGGAAGAATAGAGGTCTGAGAAAAAACATGAATCATATTATTCTTTTGTAACCACGTGGTGGCACTGTTGGCATGAGACAGCTTAGTGCTGTCATTTGCAAAATAGGGTGTGTACATTCTAGGGATGTGCAAGACTATCCCTTGAGGTGGCTGAAGAAAATATTAGAACTTCAATCTCTATTTAGATTTTATTTTGAGAAAATGGAAATGAACTAAGCTTTACTAGTATTTAATATGATTGATACTGACTCCATCACTTAATCAGTAAGGCAGATAATTCTGTGTCACATGGTCTGCAAGAGGAATGAGAGCTCTATAACTCAGAGTTGGTGGTGGCTACGTCATCTGAACATACAGTGACATATTACAGCTTATATATTCTTGGTGAAATGGATTTACGCACTACATTACTGATTATGGTAAATTAACACTCTTAAAGTGTACAAGTGACTTAAAATATTTCCTGCAAAGAAACTGCTGGTCAAAATGATCCTAATAATTCAAGCCAACAATAACAACAAAAAAATGGAAGGGCAGCATGCCCCCTCCTGGTTTGGATTCTTCTTCAGGTATGTCATGAGCTAAAAACAATGGCTATTGGTGATATGTTATCTAGCAGCATTTTTTTTTTTTGACAAAATATACCCACTTAACCAGTGTTTTTGAAGTGAAAGTGACGTTTTTGACCATAAATGAGAAAATAACGGCTTTTTGAAGAAAGCTCATGCTTTGGAGAAATAATTTGGAAAACATGTTTAAAAATATTTTCATCACTATGTGATTTTTGTTCCTGAGATTGACTGATTTATTTTACCTATAAAACTCTTATATTTCAATGTTAATAAGGCTGTGAAACTGAACTTTCTAATCTGTTTAAAAATCTTCCAAATGAAGACTTTAGGTAGGTTTTAAGACCATTTGTGAAAAATACAAATATTAAATACCTTCCATTAATTTTGTAAAAAAAAAAGTAACATTATAGAAGATGGAAATTTATTGATCAGATATCAACACTTATATATGAGTATACTTTTTCCACAAGGACCTGTGTTTCTTTGTGAAGTATATTTTTCAACTAGGCAGTTATTAAAATCAAAAACCAAAATAAATTTAGAAACAGTCCATCAAATCACTGTATCACAAAATGTTATATCCGGACTTTCAAAAACAATGGAACATGTTGAATCATATTTCTCTTGCTAAAATTAGTGATATTAGTAATATTTTTAAGTAAGGCAAAAAAGTTTATGTCATTAATAAGTAAACTAAAATAAAATTTAACTCATATTTCTTATTTTCTTTAAAGTTTATTTTTGTGCATCTTCTTATAGATACAACCCTAATTATATTTAGCACTTCATACATTTTATTGTTTACCAGGTACTGTTACAAATGCTCTGCATATATTAATTATTTTAACTCTCACAAGACCTAATATATATACTAGTGTTCCCATTTAAAGAATCAGGAAGCTGAAGCAAAGGTAGGTTAAGAAACTGGCATAGGAACATTAGCTGATATGTGACAAAATCAAGATTTATTAGTACAGTAATGCATATATTTAATTTATACATAAATTACATTTTTAAACCAATAAACAGACGAATAGAAGTATAGGATTAAAATTTAGAGACAATTTGTCTAATGCTAATAGGCATGGTGGTGACATAAGAATGTGCTCACCCATGTCCCCTGCATTGGCAGGCGGATTCTTAACCACTGCACCACCAGGGAAGCCCCCAAGAAGCCAGTCTTGGGCGCTTCAACGTGGAGTGAAAATTTAAAGATTCTTTTGGCAAGCAGTCTGAACTCAAGGTCCTTTTAGATTTTTATCATTGTTTCCCCTGAACTCTTTTCGATATTTTTTAAAAAATTGTGGTAAAATGCACATAACAGGGGTTTCCCTGGTGGTGCAGTGGTTGAGAATCCGCCTGCCAATGCAGGGGACATGGGTTCGAGCCGTGGTCTGGGAAGATCCCACATGCCACAGAGCAGCTAAGCCCGTGCGCCACAACTACTGAGCCCATGTGCCGCAACTATGGAAGCCCACGTGCCTACAGCCTGTGCTCCACAACGAGAGAAGCCACTGCAATGAGAAGCCTGTGCACTGCAACGAAGAGTAGCCCCCGCTCTCCGCAACTAGAGAAAGCCCGCGTGCAGCAATGAACACCCAACACAGCCAAAACTAAATAAATTTATAAAAAATTGAAAATAAAAGAAATACTTAAAAAAATGCACATAACATAAAATTTGCCATCTAAACCATTTTCAAGTGTATAGCTCAATAGTGTTAAGTATATTCACATTGTTGTGCAAGCAATCTCCAGAAATTTTTAATCTTGCAGAACTGAAACTACATAGCCATTAAACAACAACTCTCCATGTCTCCTTCCCCCTAGCTCCTAGAAACCACCATTGTATTTTTTTTTTTTTTTCTTTTTGGCTGTACCTCAGGGCATGTGGGATCTTCCCCGACCAGGCATCGAACCCGCACCCCTGCAGTGGAAGTGCAGAGTCTTAACTGCTGGACTGATAGAGAAGTCCCCATTGTATTTTCTGTTCCTGTGACTTTGACTACCTAGATACTTCTTATAAGTGTAATCAATCACACAGTATTTGTCTTTTTGTAATTGGCTTATTTTACTTAGCATAATGTCTTTTAGGTTTAAACAGATTATATAGCACGTGTCAGAATTTTCTTTTTTATGGCTGAATAATATTCTGTTGTATGTGTACATCACATTTTGTTTATCCATTCATCTGTCAGTGGACACTGGGTTGTTTCCACCCTTGGGCTATTGTGAATAGTACTGCTAGGACAATGAGTGTACAAATATCTCTTCAAGACCATGCTTTCTTTTGAGTGTATCCCCAAATGTAGACTTGGTGGATCATATGGAGGAACCGCCGTACTCTTTTCCACAGTGACTGCACTATTTTACATTCTCACTAATAGTGCACAAGGGTTCTGATTTCTTTACATCCTTGTCAACAGTTGTTCCTTCTTTTTTTTTTCCTTTTTATAGTAGCTACCTTAATGGGTGTGAGGTGGATGTCTCATTGTGGGTTTTTTCTTTTTTCTTCCATGCCACGAGGTGTGTTTTATTTTCATTAATCATACAAATAATTTTCTATCATAGCCCAGGGCAAACCGAGAATTTAGCAGTCCGATTGGAGGGTCCCCTCAGACACCCACGGGCCAGTGGCATTGGCACGGAGTGCCCAGGTTCACAGTGCAGCTTGTTGCTCGTGTCCATCTTGCAGGTGGCTCTTCCTCCACAGCATGACTAAGGTCTCCAAGATGATGGGGGTGGAGAATCCTCCAGGTTCTTAGGAAATTTCACTTCGCTTGCTTCTCCTGCTCAATGGTCTCTTTGGTTGGCAGGGTGTTCTTCTCCTGCGTCTCCATCGTCTTCAGCTTGGCCTTATCGAAGCCGGCAATTTCCGCCATGTCGGGCTTGTCTGCCATTTCTTAAAGCAGTCCAAGAACTGTCACTCCAAGCCCGCGGTCCAGGTGCTCCCACTCGTGTCACTGCAGCAGGAGACTCATTGTGGTTTTGATTTGCATTTCCCTAATGACTAGAGATGTTGTATATCTTTTCATGTGCTTATTGGCCATTCATGTGTCTTCTATGGAGAAATGTCTCTTCAGGTTCTTTACTCATTTTTGAATCAGGTTGTTTTTGTTACTGTTGTTGTTCTTAAATCTTAGGAGTTGTCTGTATATTTTGGGTTTTAACTCATTGTCAGATATATGGTTTGCAAATATTTCCTCCCATTCCATGGGTTGTCTTTTCACTCTGTTGATTGTGTCCTTGATTTAAATTTAAAACACAGACGTTTTAAATTTTGATGTAGTCCAATTTATCTATTTTAACTTTGGTTGGCTGTACCTTTGGTGTCATATCTGATGGGGTTCAGAACATGCTACACTAAAGTATGGCACCTTGGCATATTTAATCTTTTAAGTTGAAGGAGTTTGAGAAAACAGCAGAAGTAGGAAAGTTACTTTGACCCTCCCCTAACCTTTCACCCATGAAGTAGGTCATAAAGTCCTTATGTGGGAAGTGGTCTCCCTGTATGAAGCAAAGGAGCATCCTTATCTCCAAAGACAACGAGATGCCACCAAAAATCCAAATGGGCCTTGCTAAGTTACCCCCAGTTTACTATACGCACCTCATACTCCTTGCCCTATTATATTTCTCCATGACTAGACACTCTTCATCAAACCTAGCATAAAAATACTCAGGTTTAACTGTTTGTTCAGATCTTGATTTCCTTATATTAAATAAATGTGTATGCTTTCTCCTGTTACTCTGTCTTGGTCAGTTTAATTTTCAAACCTAGCCAGGGATCCCAAGAAGGTGGAGGAAAAATTTTTTTCCCCTAAATTTGCTAGAAATTACTGCCAAATGCAATGTCATGAAGCTTTTACTCTGTGTTTTCTTCTAAGACTTTTATAGTTTTTGCCCTCACATTTAGATCTTTGATCCATTTTGAGTTAATTTTTGTGTATGGTGTAAGGTAAGGGTACAGCTTTGTTCTTTTGCATGTGGATATCCAGTTTTCCCAAAATCGTTTTGAAAATGCTGTCTTTTTTCCCATTGAATGGTCTTGGTTCCCTCATCAGGAATCAAGTGACTGTGATTGTGAGGGTTTATTTCCAGGCTCTCTAATTGTATTCCATTGGTCTAGCTGTCTGTATTTATACAAATACCACATTGTTTTGATTATAGTATCTTTGTGATAAGCTTGAAAGACGTTTAACTTGTTCTTTTTCAAAATTGTTTTGGCTACTCAAGCTCTCTGTTTTACCATTACAACACAGTTATGAAGAGGGCAAAATGTGCAAAACATATATGAGGATTCATCATTTTTTCCCCAGTAATCTTAATTTTTTGTTATTCAAATAATTTTCTGTGAAGTTTTTGAAGTTGCTATTGTATCATCATCCTTGTAAATTTATCTTCTTCATTTGTTCACTGGAGTAATTCTTCCAGATTCTCTCATATGAGTGGCTTTGCAAGTGTTTTAACTGTGCTTTGACATCATGAAATCCTGCATCTTTTACAAGATGTGCAATTCTATCCTGAAGTAGATTTGCTCTTGTATTTCATGGTGCTAATAGAGGTTTACATATGATAACCAGTGAATGTTGCCTCAATTGTCTCAATGGATTAGGAGATCTTTGTTTTAAGTAGGGAGGGATGTTTAAGTGGAGACTAATTTTTATAAATTGTCAGTTTTGCAGTGAATATTTTTACAGAATTAAACTCTGTGAATTTGGTGATTTTGATGGTAAACACTCAGATAAAGATAAGTTGTCATGGTTGAGGCTATGGGAATGGATATGTTCTTCAGAGCAAAGTGCTTTGGGAGAGCTGGAAAGAAAATCAAAGTACTCATGAGGCCACTAACTTTTAGAGGGTTGAGGACAAAAATATTTGAAGTTCCTGGGAATGAGTTTTCAAGGAATTATGATAAGAATTGGACTAATTAAAAAAATCAGGTCTTTAATGCATTTTGAGTTTACTTTTGCTTGTGGTGTTAGGGAGTGTTCTAATTTCATTCTTTTACATATAGCTGTCCAGTTTTTCCAGCATCACTTGTTAAGAGATTGTCTTTTCTTCACTTTATATCCTTGCCTCCTTTGTCATAGATCAATTGACCATAGGTGCATGGGTTTATCTCTGGGCTTTCTATCCTGTTCCATTGAACTATATTTCTGTTTTTCTGCCAGTACCATCTTGATTACTGTAGCTTTGTAGTATAGTCTGAAGTCAGGGAGTCTGATTCCTCCAGCTCCGTTTTTTTCCCTCAAGACTGCTTTGGCTATTTGGGGTCTTTTGTGTTTCCATACAAATTTTAAACCATAAAAAGGAATGAAATCCAGTCATTTGTAGAGATGTGGATGTACCTAGAGACTGTCATACAGAGTGAAGTAAGTCATAAAGGGAAAAACAAATATCGTATATTAACACATATATGTGGAATCTGGAAAAATGGTACAGAAGAACCGGTGTGCAAGGCAGAAATAGAGACACAGATGTAGAGAACAAATGTGTGGACACCAAGGGGGGAAAGCAAGAGGGGGTGGTGGTGGTGGGATGAATTGGGAGATGGGGATTGACATATATACACCAATATGTATAAAATGGATAACTAATAAGAACCTACTGTATAAAAAAAATAAAATAAAATAAAATGCAAAAAAAAGAAATAAAAATACAAAATAAATAAATAAACCAAAATAAATAAATAATGAAGAGAATTTCAGATTAGTTTCTCAGGAAGACTGATTGCTGAGGAAAGAGAAATACGGGATGTGGAGTTCTCCTGTAAGAAAGAAAGGAGAATACAGTTGATAGATGCAAAAGGACTTTGGGTTTCAATTTCTTTTAAAATAAAGCGGGAGGTAAGAGATGTGTCTCCCATTGAGCTCCCATTGTCACACACTTTCATATTTTTATGCACAGACTTTTGCAGAGGCACAATTAGAGACCATACAAAGCTTTACATTTTTGAATGTATACTTGAACATGGTTCCATCTCCATTTTCTCTGTCCTGTAAATTACTCCTGCAGGGCATTTGTCACAGCTGGCATCCACCCAACTTGATGTTAGTTAATAACAGCTGAGAATATTTCCCCTCAGAACTATTTGCAATTTAATGAGGGATTATAGAAATTTAATAGAATGATATACAAAAGAAAAGTTATAAATATATAATGGTGGCATTTCAAGCACATTTATAAAGTCATATTGTTTTATTCATTCTCCACTCATTTCCGTTAAGGGTATTTATTGAGTTATGTGCTAGTTACAGTGTTAGACCTAGAACACAAAAATAATCAAGTCCTTAAGAAGTTTGCTATCTAAGTAGTTCTCAACCAGAAGGCAACAATACTATTCTCTTCATGTTTGAACATATCTGGGGGCAGTTTGGGTTGTTCCATTGGCTTGGGGGACATTATTGGTATTTAGTGGGCAGGCACACTCTGGAAAGATTTGCACAAAGAAGAATTATCCAGCTCTAACCAGTGGTGTCTCCACTGATAAACAAATGCTAGAATAAGAATAATACTAGTAGTAATGATTTATTATATACCTGTGCTGTGTTAACCACTTTATCTGCATTGTCTAATTTAATCTCACCTTGACACTTTGGAGTAAATACTATCTCCATTTTCCTGAATAGCTGAAAGGATAAAGAACTTTCTCAAGGCTACACTGCTAAGTAAATGGCAGAACCAGATTTTAAACAGTGTCCTAGATTAGACCCTGGAACCTACAGTCTTAATAACTGGACCATAGAGCTTCTTAAGCTAAAGATAAAACAGAACCTGGAGATCATGCTTGAGCAACCCAGAGGGCACAGACTATGATTTATTCATCTCTCTTCCTTATACCTAGTACAAAGACTGCTGTAATGCTTCTCCTTTATATGTCATTTTATTTAGTTTAATCCTGCTCATTTTTATAGATAAAGAAAACTGAAGTTCAGGAAGGTTAAACCCTTCTAGTATGTGGCAGAGCTGAGATTAGAATCCAAGGAAAGTAGTCTAGCCACCATGGAACACAGTTATGACAGTTACTCAAAAAATGAAAAATAAAAACTACCGTATGATCTGGCAACCCCACTTCTGGGAAATAAGCTAAAGGAAATGAAGTCAGTATCTTGAAGAGCTATCTGTACCCCCATGTTCATTGCAGCATTGTTTGCAATAGCCAAAAAATAGAAGAATCTGTGTCAATTGACAGATGAATGGATAAAGAAAATATGGTGTGTGTGCGCACACACACACATATATATATATATGATGGAATATTATTCAGCCATGAGAAAAGGAAATCCTGCCATTTGTGACAACATGGATGAAGCTTGAGGGCACTATGCTAAGTGACATAAGTCAGATAGAGACAGACAGATATTGTGTGATCACGCTTAGAGGTGGAATCTAAAGAAGCCAAATTCATATTGTTGCCTGGGGTGTGGGGGGGATGGGGAGATGTTGGTAAAAGGACATAAACTTAAAAGGTTACTAAGTTCTAGGGGTCTAATGTATAGCATGATGACTATAATTAGCAATACTGTATTGTAGGCTTGAAAGTTGGTAAAGGAGTAGATCTTAAATATTTTGATCACACAAAGAAAGAAAATGGTAATTATATGAGTAATTATATGGTAATTATATGGCCATCAGCCCAGCCCACTTCCTCACCTCAGATTACTTTATTCCTTCCTGACCCCTCTTAGGATATATACCATCCAACCAGAGTTTGTTGGTCTTTGTGTTTGTGCTATAGAGACAGAACCATTTAAGTCTCCCCCTTCTTCCACTCATTAAAAATAATTGTTGTCAATCAGTCAACATCTCTCTTTCTCCCACTCTGCAGTGAGAGATCTGTTTTAACTAACTTGACCCATGGATTTTTTTCTATATGGAACTGAGAGACAGGAATGAGGAAATGAGAAGAAAGGGGAAGGATCCTTGTGTATTGGGCCAGTTCCTGGGCTCCCCTTTGCTAGAGAATCCAGGTGAGAAGAAAAGAAAAAAATGTCAGTGAGACTGTCAATATGCAAAACAAAGAGCTAAGAGCTGA